TCAAATAAAACAAAAGAATAAAAAGATAGCAGATGTTGTAACTTAAGGGACACCACTGAAACTCGTTAGTTAGGATTGTCTCGCCCTAAGCTAGAATTGAACTCTCGACCTAGGGATCGACTAGGTACACACATTCAAACCATTATCCCACAACTGCTTAATGTCTAAAATTTTTCACAGACTCTTTTTAGGTAGCAAGATTTTGCTAACAATTGTTCAATAAAATAATTTAAATTTGGTCATGTGAAATTAAAATTTAAAAATATATAAGGTTTAAAGATAAGGCGATACAAAGTAAATTTCTTGGTTTTCATAACATAAAATAAATTTTTTAACCCGGCAACCCAGATTTTTTTTTTTATGTAAAAAAAAATTTTTTTTAATTTTAAATAATAAATTAATAAATATAATAATTATATTGTATAAATAGTTAACAAACTTGAAGCTTACAAGGCAAAAAATAAGTTCAAAACATGCATCTCAATTCTTGTATTAAATTTAATTATTAAAATAGCTAAAAAATAAATGCATAAATAATAGTGGCAAATCGTTATCGTTATACGAAATGATATAAGGCTATCAGAAAAACTTGTAAAATCTAGAATTTTATTTTTTACCCATACTAGGTTCCTGATTAATTTTACGTCGTACAGTAAAAAGTGAATATATGCATACTTTAGTCGTTTTGAACATAGCGATAACGATAATGATAGTAACATGAATATGCACATAACATGTAAATTTGAATCCTGCATGATAAAAATATCAAGTTTAAATTTACAAATTTTTATATAAAAGTATCTATATACAGTAAATGATAATATATTTTTCCCAGGCTTTATTATGTAACTGACAGTAAATAGGTGCGTGTGAAATTAATCATATAAATATCTGTATATCGGTCCAGCTAAAATACCATGGCCTCGCCCATATAGAGATTAGAATCAGTTTAGCCGACTAATTGACTAAATGATTCCAATCCATAATTTTGATAGCTGATACAATTCAAAGGCTTATCTAAAAAGTAAAATTATTAATGGCTATATACAATGAAAATAAAAAATTGAGAAAAATCGTAAGCTAAAATAAGAAGGTATTAAACGCGGTTGCTAATGTGTATGAATATATAATTTTTTAAATTCATGAAAAAAAAAATAATTAATGTTAATGAAATCAAATGCTCATGACAAATAAATAAAAATACTTCCATTAAACGCTCCAAAATTCCAAAGGTGTGAAATTAGCCGAATGTCCAAGATGGTAAACAAGATTATTAAAGATTATCTGAAATATAAAAAATAATACTTAAAGTTAATAAAAGAATCGTAGTCAGGCTATATATAACTCAGAAATGCACTTTTACTATGATAAAATCCTTAAAAAGCTGCAATAATCACCCTAACCCATTATTTTTATGCCTTCGGAATATTAAAATATATATAATATAGTTTTCTTTCAATCATCGCTTCGTTACAAATTTTCACTGTAACGTCGACATATGCCTGTTGCTAATATACGTATTACAAAGGGTCCAAAAACCCTTCATGGATGGTATATCCACCCCATTCCATACGAAATGACAATCCAGGAGTTTTATGACAAAATTGTTATAGATCAAATAACAGAAGAATTCAATGTGGACGTAAATTCTTCTGACATTATAGAATATGTTGAAATAAGCAAATCCCAAAATACGTTTGCAACAAAAACTAACCTTAACTGCAATATCATAGAACTCATTAATAACTTTGGGATAAACATACATTATCATTTTAAAAGTGATCAGTCTTTGCCTCCATCATCGTTTCAAAATGGTCTCTCAATTATTATGAAACATGTGCAACGAGACCAATTATACTTACCTATTTTTTCGCAGCCATCTAAACCAAACCGAAAGCAAATTTTGCAACAAGATATTATTAATTGGATTAAAGATAATGGTGGCGGTTGGTCATCATCATCATTTGCTAATTTGGAAGGAAAAAAATTCGTAGTAAATCTTACTGAAGTGATTTGGTACATTGATATGCGTGATCACAATAAATTTAAAGAACGTAGTTACCATATCCCACCAATATTTATGCAATTTTTTGGACGTGCTAACCCTGAATCATATAAGGAGGGACGAAAAAGATTTGATTTAAATGAACTTAATTTGCTTTATCAGTCTCTTGCGCATTATCTTGCAACACCATGGATGCTAACACCCAAGTTCAAATGGCTTCTAGACGAACTCGACAGTTTTGTCGTTTCAATTTCAGGTTATATTAGTTTTCTTCGGCAACAAAAAGAGATTAGTGCTAAAAATCATAATTCGGAAGTTTCAGTGCGAAACGTGGAAGATGCTACGAGCGTTAAAATTCATAATCACAATACTTGGATCGCACCAGTTAATAAAACAAAGTATTATGACCTTGTAAATACACTCACTAACACGCCATCATGGAAACCGATTGATATTGAAGAATATTTACCTACGGATCCTATGTAAGTAAATTAAACAGGTTAGCTGATTGAAATAGATAAAATTATATACTGGTATATACTAAAAAAAAAAATTATTATTATTATAAAATAAAAAATAAAATCATAAAGGCAAAGGCTACGATATATCCAAGGCATTGCCTATGCATTTCCCTTCAAAGCTGGTGAATGTAGGCTTAACTCGGGCAACAATGTGTTCAACACAGTTTCAGTTTGGAAAATTGATGATGATGCCGATGAGACTACCATATTACGAAAAAACACGTCAATTATCAATAATCTACAAATCAATGCACCAAAATATCACACAAGAGCAATGAGAATAAATTACTTAAGAACCTGTGATATGCTTTTGCCAAAGGTGAGGCCGGCGATGCTTCAATCGATTTACAAGATGTTAACGGGTGATATGTCTGCATCAGAGTCCCTAGATGAAAAGATAATAGATACACGTATTAGACTCGCTTTGGATCTTGGTGACCCTGAAATCTCTACTGATCTGCGTGAGCACAATATTGGAAGACCCTCAAAATATGACGCTTTTTGGAAAGTTGCAGCACAATTCCTTGCAGGAAAAACTGCAGATGCTGTTGTAGCTGTTGATGAAAGATGTCACGATACTGTTGTTCATCTTGCAACAGCAATATCAGTAAATGATTTGTTGCAACAAATTCGATGCGAATGCACTCCAGAAACAATAATTCCAAGCGCACAATGGTTTCGACTCCAATTCTGGCCCAAAAATCCGTCACAAATAAGTAGCTTTCAATATACAGGTCCAGTGTTGTTATTTGGACTACGTCAAAATTTTTAAAAAAATTAGGACGTAGTCCAAGTGCTACATGTTACAATATCTTAGCATTTTGTCCATATTCTGTATATTGTGCTGAAATTGCAATGCTGTACAGGTCGTTTACCTTTGAAATATATGGTCCAAATACGTCAATTACGAGCCTATCACCAGGATGCACATTATGCCTCTGCACTCTTCCGTTACGAAAAAGAATTCGCAGTTAAGTTTCGAAATCTTACTAACCTAGTCTTTCTTGATGACACGCACCGTTGTAAGGTTGGAGAGCCTGGTTTTCCTGTAGCTGCGGTAGAAAGAGGGAAACGAGTTGTTATTAGCAAGGACAGTACGTTTGTAGTTGGTGACCACGACTACACCAAGACGGGAATAGTGCCAAGTGTAACTATGATTTGTGACATACCTGAATCGATTGATGGTGACTTTTATAATGGAAATGTGTATATTAGCCTGAAAGATCCAATTTTCCAGCCTTCTTCACCTATCCGTCATTCAACAGAATTGTACCATATCCTTTTGGATGAATCTTTCAGGAACAAACCTATATTATGCCTATATACGGATGGTGGCCCTGATCATCGTTGTACATTTATGTGTGTTCAACTTTCATATATCTGTTTATTCTTGGCTTTAGACCTTGACTATTTTGTAGCCGTTAGAACTCCTCCACAGCATTCTTGGAAAAATCTAGTCGAACGTATAATGTCAATTTTAAATTTAGGGTTACAATGTGTAGGTTTAATGCGAAGCAAAATGGATGATCAATTGGAGATATTAATAAGTAAGGCCAACAATATGAGCGAAATACGAAGAATCACTGAAAAAAACCCTACCTTGAAAACTTGTTTAATTGAAAGTTTACAACAACCAATTCGATTAATTCGTGATATTTTTGAACGCCAAAGTTTGAAAGAAGTGCCTTTTGAAACGTATGATGCAGCAACTGAAGAAGAAATAGAAAGTTTCTGGGAAACCATTCATATTGTAGATGATAGCGTAATACAGGAAGATCGTACTATGGAACATATCAAAAAAAAGGTAATAAAAGTAATATAATAGCGTTAATTAGAATATAACAAAATAATGTTTATTTACTTTTCATTAAGTTAAAGTTAAAAGAATTCATGGATCACTGTTGTACTATACGACACTATTTCTTTACAATAAAAAAATGTGGTAAAGTAGACTGCTGTATTTGCCGGCCTTGCCATTGTACGCCCGAAGAGTTTGAGCAACTTAAGCAGCTTCCCGATCCAATTTCTGGTGAGGATTTACATTATAAATCATTTGAGGAATTATATGGAACACCAACAACAGAAAAACACAGACCTTCTTTAAAGAATTCCAAACCTATAACATCAAAAACTGGTAAGAAGAAGATGATAACAAAATTAAAACATACTATGCTAATTTGTTCAACAGCTACTTATATAAAAAATATTAGCATCACTATATTTTGTATTGAGTGTAAAAAGCTACATTTATTATTTAGTTTAAAAACGCTTACTAATAAAGTTTGAGAAAGACTTAAAAGATTCCTAGATATAATTTTGTTGAATAACAGATAGGTGAAAAAGGCTAGAAAATTAGATCTTTTAAGCTAATATATATATTTCATTATAAAAGTCAATATTAATTAATTCAGATATGTTACAAATCATAGTTATACTTAGTACTATTCTCATCTTGATATAGTTATAATCACTAATTACGAATATACTATCTTTGCTAATAACAACTTGTTTCCTTCTTTCTACTACAGCTACAGAAAAACTAGACTTTCTAACTTTATAACAGTACTTGTTATCAAAAAAGACTAGATTAATAAGATTTTGAAACTTAATTATGAATTTTTTTTAATAATAGAAGAGTGTAAAGGTATAATATACATCCTAGTGATAAGCTTATAATTAACATGTTTAGACTATATATTTCAAAGATAAATAACCTATATAGTATTACAATTTCAGTATAATATACAGAATATAGACAAAATACTAAGATATTGTAATATATAGTACTTGAACTATATTCTAATTTTTTTAAAAATTTTAACATAATCCAAATAATAATACTGGACCTTTATATTAAAAACTGCTTATTTGTAACAGATTTTTGAACCAGAATTAGAGTTAAAACTATTATACACTTGGAATTATTGTTTCTGAAGTACATTTACATCGAATTTGTTACAACAAATCATTTACTGATATTGCTATTACAAGATAAATAATAGTATTATAACATCTTTAATTAATAGCTACAATAGTATCTGCAGTTTTTCTTACAAAGAATTGTGCTGCAACTTTTCAAAAAGTGTTATATTTTAAGGATCTTTCAATATTGTACTTATGCAGATTAGTAGAGATTTCAGAATCATAAAGATTCAAAGCAAGTCTAATATATGTATCTATCTAAGAACTCTGATACAGACATATCACCTATTAATATCTTATAAATCAATTAAAGCATTACTAGTTTCATCTTTAGCAAAAGTATATCACAGGTTTTTAAGTAATTTATTCTTATTACTTTTGTATAATATTTTGGTATATGTTTTTTGTTGTTAAGGTGACTTACATTGCTGAAGGAATTTTATTAGAGTTATCAATGAGATTATATATTGATAATCTCTACTATTTGTAATTACATGAAGAGTATACAATAAGCTATATGTACAATTTTAGTTATTGTCTATTTTAAATAGTCTACTGCATAGGTATTAAGCTACCTGATTAGTTCTATACTATACTGCTATACCTATAACTCATCTGTAAGTTATCTATTTAAATATTCTGTTTATTAACTTATATAGATCTAATCTAACATTACTACAATATCTAACTACTTAAGCTAGCTAGTTCATTATGAATCTATTTATTCAGAATAGCTTAGGTCTTCTTAGAATATATTATACTAGATGTATTGCTAGTATTGCAAAGCCAGTTAACTTTGAAGCAAACCTACTAGAGCAGTCTGTATCTATTTTATGAATTCACCTAGCTTAGACCCTTGTAGATATTTGTACAACTCTAGGTTCTACTGTGGTCCTCTACTAGTCAGTTGATTTAGTTCTTTTCTAGTATTTAGTTAGTTCCAGTTACCCTTCACTTGGAGACCTTGAAACCTTCTACCTTTATTAGATCGAGTTTTCTTTCTAGATCAGACTTTAGCTGATGTAGTTCTATTAGAAAGCTATATTAATTTACTAACTTAGGATTTCTACTATGCAGATCCCTTGCTCATATATCCTATC